AATCTTCATATAGCCATTCCTAACAGGCTAGTAACAATTTAATTTAATGGTTTGATTATGTGCCATCAAGTAGTTTTTGACTCCTAGCGACCACATAAATAGATTTTCCCCATATGATGATGTCTATGGAGATTATCAGTCATCTAAGTCATGGTTGTAACAAAGGTGCTTTTTCAAGAGGCATGTTTGTTTGTCCTTGAAGACGTTTCACTTCTTATCCAAGAAGCTTCTTTGGTTCTGACTGAATGGTGGAGAATAGGAATATAAATCCTTCCATTCTCTGGCATTTAGTCAGAACTGAAGAAGCTTCTTGGATGAGAAGCAAAATGTCTTCAAGAAAAAACAAAGAAAGTCCAGTTTCCTGGACTTTCTATCTCCACGATGATCTATCCCTAACCTGTTCTTTCAAGTATCCGCCAACTCCTTGCTACCGTAATTGAGTCCATTCACTTTTCTTCTGAGCCTTTTCCAGAGAGCTGGGTCTTTGCATAATGTGCCCAAAGAAAGATAATTCTAGCCTGGTCATTGTATTTCAATGAATGAATGAATGAATGAATGAATGAATCAATCAACCAATCCATTAGTTTGTTTTCTTGGATATCCAACCTGGTAATCTCAGATTTTTCTCCAATTGTAATTTTTTTTTTTAATGAAATCAACTTAATTCTGAAATCTGTACGGATTGAAACTCTTCTATTGAGTCTGCAAACATTTTGATAACTTCTTTTATTTTCATTTGATTTTTCATTTGTTATAAAGCCCATTTAGAAGGGAAATTGAAGATTTTTTTTCTGTTCTATTTTCCTTTGGGGGGAAATAATGTTTTCAACTCTTCAAAACTGTATGTGGGTGGAGTGGGAAGCTAGCTTTGCCAATACATGAAATTTCAGCAATACAGCTTGACTCTTAGAATGTTATTTATTCAGAGGTTTCCTCAGAAATAATCCCATGTTTGGACACTCTCTGCAATTTTTAAAGCTCAGGATCAGATTATCTGGATGCATTTAATTTTACCAGGTTTTGAACAATTTTATACTAATTACCTTCCGAGTAGAAACTGGCTGTGGTTTTGCTTATCTGTGGAATAAACTATACAAGTTTTTGCACCCTTACAGAAGCTGCTTGGGGAAGGCCCGTATGCATAAATGATTATCAGCTATCTCCTACTTCCTTCTTCTTTTGGAGAAAGGGGGCTTGGAAAACCAAATGTTCCCTTGTCTTTTCATAGGAGAAGATTTTAACAGACTGTAGGAAAGTGCTTGGAAAGAGTTCCATGCAGGAGTGTTTCGAACAGACACTAGGTGTCAGCTGATTCATACAATGCTAGCCAATAATTGGTAAGAGGGTGAAGAGCTATCCTGATGCATTTTGCTGTGGCTTGGTTGCTATGGAAACTGCTGCTTTTGTACGTGTATTGTGTGTGCAACCCCTCCACCATATGGGTTCTGCTTCACAGACACTGCAGATTAGGGAAACATGTTGCCACAATATAGCTCTTAATGGTGTTGCCTGGATCATGGAGAAACTATCCTTTTCGATAGCTAAAAACACAACCAAACAAGCCTCCTCTTCCTTCATTTTCTGTAGGCTCAGTGCATCTGTTGGCAAGCCGGGTCTTACAGGCACCAAAGGGCAGTTGCCCTGAAGTTGAACGGAAAAGAATGAATTTTGCTATTTTCTTTGTACAAAAAGTTGGTGACAGTGTTGGTGCTGTGAAAACAGTTAAAAGAACTTGAAGAAGATTTGTGAGGTCAGCCCGTCCTAGCCCAGAGCCCATTAGACCCCCTTGGACTACACAGCAAATCATCCTCAGTCTAGGGGTGATAGGATTGTTATGAAACAGATCTGGAAAACAAGATCAGAAAGGCTGCTGAGAAATATAAATCTGCTGTGGGCTTTGAAGCATGACAATTCTGCTAAAATCTCACCATAACACATATTTATCTTTAAGCGTCATGTTAGCAATTACTGATAATCGGACTGGCATGTATTCATGAGGGGAAAGATACGGACTTTTAAAAAAAATCATGCTCATCTTTTAACCTTTTGCAATCAGGGGAATTTCTCAGTGGGGTGAGTATTTCCACATAGAATTAACTCATATGGTTGTGTGTGCCTATAGCTATCAGTATTCCTAATTTATCTGAAAGTAGCTATAATTTCTTCTAAGGTTTTTGGCTAGGAAGATTGTTTTTTTTTTTTTTGCCTAAATACTGCAAAACTCTTGGCTGTTGCCCAGCTCTATGCCAGTCTGGCTATTCAACATCCATACTTCCTATTAAATAAGCTTGGTTTGAGCAGCTGTTTTAAGTTATGCAGCTTTCTATATATAATCTTTGTCTGTGAGTCTAGTAAACCAAGTCATGGCCAGAATAATTTACACCCACCATCTGATTCTTGCTTGTCCTAAAGAGAGAATACAATGCAAGAAAGAAGTCAATAGGATGCTGTCAAAAGCAAAAAGAAAACTTTTAAAGGAGTCACTGCATATACCATATTTAAAATAAGATTTGAAGCCAATAACTATAATAGCTGCAATAATTTAACAGCTGCTCTAGGATAAACTGTCTTTTGTCAACATCCCGTATACAGATTTTCCATAGGATGAACAAAACATGTAAATTATGGGTCTCAGAAAATTGAATGATATGTATTAATATTTTGTTTTATTCTATTTAAACAAGCTAACAATAACTAAGTTACTTGGATAGTGATATGGGGGACATATAAATTTAATTTAATCTATATATAAAAAATGGCTCTCTGTGTGTGTGTGTGTTTGTATGTTTCAGCATAACTCTGGAACGCCTTGAGCAATTTCAACCAAACTTGGTACACAGTTGACTTACACTTTGGAAACAAATACTGTGAGGGTAAGACACCCCTAATGCCCCTCAGGGTGCGTGTTCTGTTATGCTACAGCCTGTTGTGCCTTAAAATGGCTTCTACTATACTGTCGTAAAATGGCTTCTGCTGCACAGCGCACTGGAGTTGCCATGGTAATGGCCTCACAGTACTCTACAAGTAAGGGGGAAAACCCAACATTAGAAAGTACATTTGGTTCAGACATTTCCCCCCCAATAAATAAATAAATAAATGAAAAAATGAATGAATGAATGAATGAATGAATGAATGAATGAATGAATAAATAATACCTGGACAATGCTGGGTTATTAGCTAGTAATAAAAATAAATAAACAGTGACTGTCTTAATAATATGATATAACATCACTATGATGTAATGTTAAAATGAAAAATGAAAAGAAAAATGAACACTTAAAAAATTGATGAAATTGTTCATTGGATTCTTCCTTGCTTCCTTAAGTGGACTTATTTGGACTGAGGTGGGAAATCCAAAGCTGTAAAAGATATGTAGATTTATGCTTTTATCACTGCGAGATCCAAGACCAGAGGTTTAGTTTTTCTAGTTTTCAGATACCTTGGACAGTTCTTTCAGATCAATTGAAGAGATACACTGTTGTAGAAAAATAGATTATTTTATTTTGCTCATAGAAAAAAATATCAGAGTTTCATAATCTTGCAAATGTAGGGCAGCCCACACATAAAGAAATGAAAATATTTTTGGTGGTTATCCAGTAGACAGAATAATAGAAAATTAGATAGCAAAGATGGATTGAGAAAAAAAAATGAGAGCAAGGAAATGGAAAAAAATAAACTACATTGTCAAAGAAGGCTAAGTTTATAATCTTGTGCTTGTAGTTCTAAGGAAAAAAATATGTAGAACAAGCAAATGTCTTATTATGCTGGAAGGCAGAGGCAGATTTGTTTTCCATTGTTTTCCTCCCCAAAAGCTAGGTGTATCTTATACTTCTGAGCGTCTTATAGTCTGAAAAATATGGTAGTAATACTAAATTAGTAACACCAACGTAGCGGCAGTTGTTAAGTGAATTTGGCTTTCCCATTGACTTTACTTGTCAGAAGATTGCAAAAGGTGATCATATGACCCTGGGTCACTGCAACTGTCATATTTACATGCCAGTTGGCAAGCCTCCAAATTTTGAACATGTGACCAGTGGATGCTGCATTGGTTGTAACTGGAAAATGGCCATAAGTCACATTTTTCAGCGCCTCTGAAACTTTGAATAGTCATTAAATGAATGTTTGTAAGTCAAGGACTATCTATGCTTACTGTGTAAGATCTGTGTAGCTGCCCATCTTTAAAAAAATACTCTGGATAAGTCACAAGAAGACTAAAAACTGTATTATAAAAACCATAAACCATATGTTTGAATATATTGCATATATTGCAGAACTAATAGTATCTCCACAAAATTCAAAGTGCTGTTTTTAACCTATAAGGCCTCAAATGGCTTCACTTGTAGGTACCAACTCATGAGAGGATCAACTCATGAGAGGATCAACATCATGAAAGAAATTAGTGGTAGTCCTTCATTGTCAAAGATGAGGGAAGCAAATGAAGTTGGTAAAGACAGAGTTGTTTTAGAAAGTTTTAGGGGACTGACTAAATGTCTTAATATGGTTGGTCAGTTTTTGCAATTTATTAATTTTGTCAAATTTGAAATAGTTATGTATTATGGTTAATGTTAATTATTAAGAATCTCATATGTAATTAATGTGGCATACAAAATTGATAAAGTTTAAGAACTATATATATATATGCATATATTTAAAATATATGAAGATACATGTCTGCCTATTTATTTGCCTGCACTCATTATGAAGCACTTTCCTGCAAACTTCCTTGGTTGTGATTTTGTAGACAGATAAAAGAAAATATTCTTTTATACATTGTGTGGTGTTGGCCTTGAGATTGGATTTACCTTTGCAAAAAGTATTACCTGTGATATAATTGCTATATATCATCCCCAAGATGAGAGGCAGTATGACTTTGAATACCAAGTTTATTTTTTATCATCAAAGTATAATGTAAAATGTATAATATTTTAAAGTTGTATATTCGGAATGCATTGTTTTGTTTAGTATTTCAGTTTACTATTCTCTTATCATTTGTTTTGCAGATTGCATGTGGTTCAGAGCACAATCTAGCAATAGTTGGTAAGTAGTATGACATTTTTTATTTAATGTTCTGAAGTCTTTCTCTTTTAGTTGTATGCCAATTGTATACCAAATTATTTAGAAAGTATTCTAAGGTATATATTCTGGAACTAATGCAAATTAAAAAAAGTAGAGAAGAATGAAAAAGGGATAGAAAGTGCGGAAAAGAAAACATAAAGAGAAATAGAACAGAAGAAGAAATAATATAGTAAATTTTGACTTCTCCCTTCATTGTGACAAATACAAATGTTCTCTAAGAATACAATGAGCAATCATTTCTTCCTATATCTCATCTCTTTTCTATAAACAAATTCTTAAACCTGACATTCCTAGTTAGCAGCAGTTCATAAAGGCTTGAGAAAAAGCAAGATGTATATTTTAACCTTAAATTTTATATATATAATGTGTATATATTATTGTATATATACAACGTGTTATTTGGGCATACCAGACGTTGTAACACTTAATACATACCAATCTCCCTGGCTCAGCTGATAACGGAGAAGGACCTTGTGGCTTAGTGGTTAACACACCTGCCTAAAATGTAATACAGCACAGGTTCTAATCCCAGTAAGGGTATGGCTAGCTGATGAGAGCTAAATAGCTTGAAATAGATCTATACTAGTCTCCCTTTATTTATTTATCAGCACAAATAAAAAAACAACCACATGTGTGTGTGTGTGTGTGTGTGTGTGTGTGTGTGTGTGTGTGTGTGTGTGGGTGTGTGTGTGGTATATTGTGGTGTTTGTTCTTAT